ACGTTGTAAAAGCCGCTGTCACACTACTCATCGGGAAGGAGAACAGACAGAGACTTCGGATTCATGTAGGTTCATTCCAAGAATGCAAGTACAGTTTGCGGCCCTTTGGAATTCCCGTTGATCGTCTTCCTGTGGATTTAAGTTTTAGTGGGGGATCTTCGCAGAGACAGCAATACCAAAATATAAAGAATCACCTAAGGTGGTTGCAAATCCGCGCAGCAAAGGACACCGCCATGTTTGCAGCCATTGGGAGGGATAGCAACGGCGAAATAATTGATGGCGGGCATCAAGAGAATAAGGACATTGGAGAATCATACGCTGGTGTCATGGCAGCAGTGCGAGAAAATCTATCGAAATTTGTTGAATGTCCTCGGCACGAAGACTGCCTATTCGGCAAAGGCCGCCCAGCGATGAACCATCCCGGCAACATTGCAATGAGACGGTTGGTGAAAAACAAGCTTTCTCAATTCATTTCAAACAATGCCAAGGAAAAATCCGAAATTGTCCAGGAATGTATCGACGAAATAAAAGAGTGGAATGGGCGCTTCCTGAAAGAAGACAGTGACCATGCCGGTGTTTTCGTGATTGCAGATAACGAAACGGTATTCAAGAAAATTGCCAGTGCATTTCGAGATTTGAAAAAGAAACAATTGCGTGAGCAACAGCGGGAGAAAGAGTCTGTGAGAGACGATCCGGGAAACGAATCAACAGGAGAGGAGGTTGGGAGACCGTCGCAATCAAGAGTCAAAGGAACCAAACGGCCGGCTGATCAAGAATTTCAATCGTCGGAGAATGGAGCTTCGTCCATATCTAATGGAAACCGGGGAGTTAATAGTGCGATGGCTATGAAGACTTACACAGCGACCAACGATGCATCGCTAATGACGAATGCTGAAACCGACGAYAATGGATCTTGTTTCTCCCACTTGGCACAAAGAAAGAAGACAAGGAATCGATGCTTCTATGACTAAACGAACCTTATGCTTCTTGTATATGGATGCTTCTTTTTGTGCTCCGCGAGATATTCATCGAGTCAACAAGCCTCTGATTTGAAAAGATGCTGGATAGCTTGGAATATGATTTAAAATAAAAATGAAACACAGCCAGTTTCTTGGCCGAAGAAGATGATCGGGAAGATGAAACAGGTGTCGTCGATAATGATATTGCCCCTTCGCAACTGTCATAACTTGACAGAGACAAGGTATACGTCTGTCTATCTCGCATCCAGAGTCCCAGCGATTTTTTCGACAACGATCTCATGCACCATAGAGAACTTCCTACGGAGCTTTCGATGAGCCTTTTGATCCATGGCTCCCAGCTGGCTTTGTGTCATAAGCTATTGCAAAGCAACACCATGGTCGGATAGAACAACAATGTTCCATTCCATTCCAAGCAACGGTTCCCGAAGCGGCGTCAAGCCGGATAAGGAAAAAGATGTGCTTCCGTAGCAATTGCGGCTGTATCCAAATCTTTTACGGAGTCGATGGTTTCGCATTGTTGCAAAACGACAGCTTCATTGCCGGTGCTGCTTGCTGACATATCATCAGAAGCTGACACGTGCAAACAGAGCAGCAGAAACTTTTCATCGCCTGTTTAAGACATTAAAATGGCACACCACTAGTAGTTCTAGGAGAAGAACACGACGAACAAGAAGCACCTTGTTCTTGTTCTTGTCAATGTATGGAATCTGCCTCATACAATGGTATGACCCACTGAGGGACATCATCATTGTAATCTTACACAGTAATTGGGGTGGGAGGGATTGCAGCTTTTTAATCTTTTCTAGTCAGGGTTAGAGTGCTAGTAGTACATATTGACTTCTAGCTCTACTAGTAGTACTACTATTCTCGGTGGCATGGTTCCAATGAATCCCGTTCAACGTACAGGTAGTGACTCTTGGGAAAGATGATGGTGGTGATGTTCAACGTAGGGGACGTACCGTAGGGCATACGAAGTACTAGTACGTTATACGTTGTAGTAGTACAGAATCATCTTTTCTTGCTCCACCTACGCTACTACTGTATCACGTATACGCGCTGCGCGAGCTCCTCCACAGTTATATCACACCTCTCTGCCTGTATCAATATCAATATCAAACGGTATCGTACCTACGGTACGTACTACTCGGACGAGCAAGTACGAGTACCAGTATCCGTATATACCGTACGAGACTGCTTGTGCAGTAGGTGCGCTGAGTATGGGTAAGGAAAAACGAAACAGAGCACTCGAGTCCAAAAAACTCTGTTTCGATTATGTCCGAGTGACCTGAGAAAAGATCCTTGCAAGCCATCGCAAAGAACACAGTGCCCGACCCTTCTGCGCTGCACCACAGCAAGCACCGACCGACACCGAATCGCACCACCATGGCAGTGAAAAACATCGACAGCAGCAGCGGCATCGGCGWTTACCGCCCCCACGAGGGGACCGGACGACTCATGATGTTCTTCATGGGCTTTGTCGCGATCATGGGCCTGACCTTTGTGAGCCAGCTTCGGGACTACCACCGCACCGACCACGGCGGGGGCGGTCGTTCCAATGCCGTGCACCTGTCGCAGCCCTCTTTCCCGGCGGCCGATTCCAAGATCGCCGCGGGGGCGGAACAGATGGTCGAGCACCTGCAGCGACAGGCGGAGCAGATTGCGGCGGAGACCGCAATGTTGTTGGTGCCCAAAGGATTGAGCGGGGCGGCGGAAGCAAAGCCCGAGGCGAAGCCGGAAGTAAAGCCGGAAGCAGAGCCAGAAGCAAAGCCCGAGGTGAAACCGGAAGCAAAGCCGGAAGATCCACCSAAACCAGCGGAGCAAAAGAAACCGAGACGCCTGAACGTCGCTCTGTTCTACGCCGACGACTGGACCATGAAGGTTCTTGGAAAGCTCGACAAGAACGTAAAGACGCCCAACATCGACCGGATGGCCGACAACGGGATGATCTTTACCAACAACTGTGTGACCACCAGCGTRTGCTGGTCGAGCCGTTCGACGCTGGCCACCGGGACTTACTCGGCCGTGCACAAGCACACCTTTCCCTTCCAGGAGGCTGACTTTGAGACGGAGCACTGGACGGAAACACTCTACCCGCTGATGAAGCGAAGGGAGCGTGGGAACTACTACACCGGGCTGTTCGGCAAGTGGCACAAGCTGGAGAAGGAARATGAACTSAATGAGGCCTTTGATGAGAGCATCCGTTACTACGGTAGCCACTGGGAGGAACGGAACGGAAAAATGCGCCATGTCACGGAACTCAATGCGGCCGACTCACTCTGGTTCCTGGACAAGTGGGACTCTCGGCGGAGGCAAGTCCCGGCCACCCCAGAAGAAGGGGACGACCTCACTAAGCCCTTTTTCTTGACGACGTCGTTTTTTGCGACCCACGCCCGGGACGGGGAGTTTCCGAGCTACCAGCCGCTCAACGCCACACGCGAGATCGAGTACCCCGACTCGGTGATCATCCCAAAGCCCAAGACGGCCACCAAGARGCACTGGAACGACCTCCCGCACTTTCTCAGGCACGACGGAAACGAGGGCCGGACRAGGTGGAAGAAACGCTTCGACCCGGAAAGCTTCCAGGCCAACATCAAGGACATTTACGCAATGGCCACAGATGTCGATGCGGCCATTGGAACCATTGTGGACAAAATCACCCAGCTAGGCGTCTTAGGTGAAACCGTGCTGATTTTTACAACGGACAACGGAAACATGCACGGGGAGCACGGCCTTGTAAGTACGACACKGCAGAATATTCGGGATGTTTCGGATTGCGTTTCTCTTCTTTTCGAAGGTTTCGAGTTTGATGTTCGCGCAGGGATCCGCCAATCTTTTTTCTTTGGAATCGATTTGCATGGTTCTATACGTTGCTGGCGCTGCTAACGCTGATGCTGCTCTGTTCCATCGCGAATGTTTTTTCTGATGTTTCGCTSTTCCCAGGCCGAAAAATGGTACCCGTTCGAGGAATCTCTCCGGGTCCCACTCGTGATTCAGGATCCCCGCATGCCCAAGGAGCGCAGGGGGACCATCAGTGAGGCCTGGACCCTGAACGTGGACCTCACACCGACGATCCTTGGGGTCGCGAACCTGCCACCTAGCGATTTTATGCAGGGCCGTGACATTTCCGACCTCTACCTCTACAAGGACGAGGATAAGGAAAAGGCCCTTTCCAACACCGAGGTGGCCGATAAGGTAGCTTGGCGCAAGGATTGGTTTTACGAGTTCAACCTGGGCATGAAAGACGATGCCAGTGACCATCCCTGGACAAACTTTATCGATGCCTCTTTCGCACTGGTGACAGACGAGTGGAAGTACGTTGTGTGGCCGCAGCACGATGACTACGAGCAGCTCTTTCACCGGAGTGTAGACCCCTTTGACGAATGGGACCTGTTAAACAAGGTCCTCCGCGGGAAAAACGAGGAGGTTGAGGTGGAAGGAAACGGAGACACCGTCAACGGGCCGTTCAAGGACACGGTGCAAACCACAAGGAAAATGTACGAGGAAATGAAGCAGCGCTACGCCGAACTGAAGAAAAAGGCCCAGGCTGGAGAACGGATATAGGCAGGCGCGGAATGACGCGATTCGACGCGATGCTCACCGCTGTAGAAGATTGTTAAATCAAAATTGRATTAGAATTGGGATGTTCTAAACGCAACCACAGAAATGACACGGAGCGTTTTGTTTCATTTCATTTTATTTCGTTTTTTTTCTGTTCAATGTGTTTCATTGCATTGGGTTGCTACATCGTTCGGATCCAATGTTTTGTCATTGCATTTTTGTTTCTATTTGGTGCAAGTGCGACAACTTCGAGCAAGCTCAGAAGTCGTCAGCAGCTTTCAAAAACGGTGCTTGATTGCCGCCTTGCCATAAAGTAGAATCAACAATCTCATGGTGCGGGGCGGACGCAAAGTTCCGTACATATAGAGACACAAGCAACTCGGCCGGCATCAATCCCAGCGATTCGGGAATCGTACAACGACTTCATCCAGATTTGTCCTCATTCGCCATAGTCCTTTTGATGTCCATGTCATTGTCAACGCCTCCGAGCACGATTCATAGCATCTCTGCGCACTCGAATGTCAGTAGATCGAATTGTTTCTCATCCGCCGGCAACCATGGCATCATCTCCTTTCTCGATTGCTGGTCCGTCCCGGCGTTCCCGCAAAACGATTCTTTGACAATCAGCTGCTGATTTTCCCCGTGGCAATGTGCGGGGGGAGGTTCGGTGTTCGATTTTGGTCCTCGCCTTCTCTATGGGAATATGCCTGCCACAACCATTCTTCGGTATCGTCRTCGTCGTCGTCGTCGTCGTCACCGTCATCGATCAGACCGATCGTCTGACCCACATCGTACCATTCGTCGAGACGAATTGTGATTGGTGGAGTCCCCTCGCTGTCCCCGCTGCTTTCACCGTGAAGAAACCGGAAGTCTCCCTCGTCGTGGGACTCTACAATCATGAGAGGATTGGCGTCTCTCCCGTCCTCGGTTTCTTCTCGAAATCCTTCCGTGACCAAGTCGGGGCTGCATTCCAGAACAAAGAGGGCATCCGTGCACTCCAGGTACACCGATGGAGCCTTTGCTGTCGGTGAAGGATCCGGGGGTGGGAGACCGGTGGGGCAGAATCGAATGATTTTCGCCCGCGTGTGGGTGGGTGACAATTTTGGAATCGTAACGCGAGCCTTTCGAAAGCAAGCCATCGTTGGTCGAAAGCAAGCAGACGATGCCATTGCTGTCCTCTGTTGCAGAATGTTTTATTTTTTTCTCTAGAACGGATGTGATGCATTCAATCAATTTTTCATTTTTCAACATGGGGGGGCATTCTGGCATTGAGACCAAAAAAAGAAGGGGAACACATTTTTTTAAAACTTACCGTAAAGTAAGTACCGTACCGTACGGCTTCTTTCTATTTCTTGGTTCGTACGAGTAGGATAAGAAAATCACATACACGTGGAGCAAAGGCAGAACACTGGCGTCGTGACTCAGATGTGGCTTTACATCTACTATTCTACTATTAGTACTTACGTTACCGGTATGTATCAGTACGAGTACCGTACGTACTACATCGAACTTCATGTTTTTACTGTAACAAAGAATTACTCGAACGAAAGTACGTCGTACCGTAGTAACAGACTGGTTACTCAGTTTTTGCCGAGTAACCGCGCATCGCGGAGGCAGTGCTTGTAGTTCATTTGCAGCATCCGGAACCGCGGTTACTCGACAAGAAACTGAGCAACCAGTCTATTACGTCAATGGGTCATTCCCGATAGTCTAGAAAGTCTAAATTTTGACAGACAGACAGAYCAAATTTAGACTTTCTAGTCCAAATTTTGAAGGCCCCCCCTCCCCGGCCTGCAAGATTTCTAAATCTAGACCGGAATCCAAGAATCAAATTCCGTTGTAGGACTCAACTGAAATGACGGCCAAATTTAATACTCAAAGAATTTACTTAAAAATTAGAAGGCGCCGGCGCCAGTATTTTTCCTCTGTCATAACACCAAAGAGAACGACAGCAATAACAATCATGTCCCCTGTCTTATTCGCTACGCTTTACGTTAGATTGAAACAAAGAGAGGCTCAACTGCTGGAGGCCGTGTATCAAGCAACGCGAGGGGGGAAGATCCCTCACACAATATTCACGGTGCAAGCAAAGATGCCATCCCCTACTGGTCCTTATGCAACCATTC